TATATATATATATATAGGGATGAAGAGCTCTTTTTCTTCTCCTTGATTCATATATAATTGGTTACAAGATTTTGCAAATTTGGTGAAGATGCAGAGCCATCGAAACAGCCATACAAAGGTTCTCCTACTGGCTCCACGTGTATATGGTGCCCTGTTCAGGAGTTTTCTCATGGGAGCTTGTAAGGGCAATCCTTGTCAGGGTGCTAGCACCAACTGGTAGAAGTGTTTGGGCTAAAATAGTAATATCTACAAATGTAGGGGCAACAATAGAGTTTTCAATTCATAAGGACTAAAATGTTATTTTATTCTTCAAAAAATTGTCCTTTCGGTTCTTCCGTTGAATCTCTCCCATCGCACTATCGTAACGCAGGTTAAAGGCTTCTGCTTTTTCCTTCTAGTCGTCGCCGGGGAAACTGATCGGAGTCGTCGGAGTTACCTGAATCTCAATCTTTGGTGATCGGAAGGCCGATCCGTCGATGGAATAGAGGAGGTCAGCTGAATTTTGTACGATCTGCTTCCGTCGCCGGTTTCCATGGCCACCGGAAGCAGCAGCGGAGGCGGCGGTTTGTTCGATAGCGTGGAGGTGACTACGAGCGGCAGGCCCGTGCTCCGCCGCGACGAGTTCGAGTGCTTCCTTCTCTCTGCCGTGGATTTGGATTCCGAAGACGATCCGCCGCGCTTCGTCGCCTTGCGCTCCGGCAATCTCACCCTCACCACTCACCGTCTCATATGGATTCCTTCTCAGCCAAATGGCGTCGTTTTTCCTTCAGCCATACCTCTATCTGCCATTACTATCATCTTCTCGCAGAAGAAATCTATCAAATCGATGTTTCATTCGCCGCGAATCCGGTTCCAAGTTGACTCGGGCTCGATTGTTGTGACGATTGTGTTCAGGGGAAAGGGAGATTTCGATGGGTTCTTGGGGAAGATGTGGGAGTGTTGGAGAGGAAGGGCATGGGAGGAGGAGAAGAGCGAAAGCGGGTCCTCTGCTTCGGGTTCTGTGTCTGGTGGTGGGCATAGTTTGTACGGAAACGATGGGACGGTGAGGATGGTGGGAGTTGCGGGGATTTTGAGGAAAGAGCAAGAGTTGTGGGAGAGTACGGACAAGAGCTTGCAGGACGCTTTTCAAGATTTGAATGCTCTCATGGTAACTGCTCGATTCATTCTTTTCGCTTTTTCGCCCTTTGTCGCTGTTACCATCATTATCCCCGCTGAATCTTCGTTGCTGGCTGTGATTGTTGCCATCATTTTGAGGCATGATCGTGTTCCTGTGACCCTTTATCTAGAAATTGTATTTCGTTTTACAGTTTTATTTGTGGACCTGAAAATACAGAGAAAATCTGACTCATAGTCATAAAGTTTCTTGATTGATGCATGTTTTGATCTTTATTTGCTCGAGGTTTAGGACTCTGATAGTTATTAGTAAAGAGTGTTCCTTTGTATTTCCTTTAGTTTTTGTCGTGATTTAAGAAATGTTTGTACTCTTAACTGAATTGCAGAGTAAGGCTAAAGAGATGGTGAGCTTGGCAGAGAAAATGCGGCAAAAGCTTTTGTCTGCTCCTAGTAGTCAGAACGGCTCCACAGATGACGAGGAAATGGGTTCTAAAGAAGAAATGCAACAATGGATGCTGAGCGTTGGTATTATTTCCCCTGTTACAAAGGAGTCTGCTGGTGCGTTGTATCACCAGGAACTGTCTCGTCAGGTTCTGTTCTTTCTGTCATCTTGTCTTGAGATTTTTTTGTTTGTGTTATTAGCTCTCGTTTGTGGTGTCTGTCTGCTAAAACAGAAGAGAAGTTGTCTTTTAGATGCGGGAAATGCACTAGAGTAATTGCTCTGATATCTGCATCTCCGAAGTAGATGATATCTCGTTGTTGTCTACTAGTGTCTCAAGAATTATACATGGAACATCATGTGTCTGACTTTATTCATGCAAATTTCTGGTTTTTGAATTTCATCTTCTAAGACTCATGTTTTATGTTCTTTTACATTCTTTTACCTCACGACTTTCGTAGTAGAAGTGAAGAACACCGTCAAATGTTTGAATGAATTTTTTAGCCGTTTGATAGTAATATGTTACTCCTGAAAAGTTTGTTGCCCTTTGTTATTCATGGCCTTCAGGTGCATTTTCATGCATGGGTTTGCGGTTTTTTTGTTGTTGACTGCAGTTGGCAGATTTTGTCAGAATTCCACTAGAGCAAGCTGGGGGAATGATAAATCTTATAGACATCTATTACCACTTCAACCGTGCTCGTGGGACAGGTTGAAGCCGATATAAACATAATCTACTTCCTTTTCTGTTCCTGAATTTATGGTTTCAGCCTGAAAATCCTTCAAATCCTTCAATTAGTCTGTGTGCATGATATAAGCCGCCAAGCAATTATTTATTTCCTTTCCCTATGCAGAGTTGATTTCTCCAGATGATTTGTTGCAAGCTTGTACCCTCTGGGAGAAATTTGATGTGTATGTATATTTTGAAATCTTGGTTCTTATCGGTTGATCATGTCTTTTGCTCGTAAGAAGCTTTTGAATGCTCGAAAGTATTGAACTTTAACTTGTGAATCTGTTGTGCTTGGTAGTCCAGTAATGCTGCGGAAGTTTGATAGCGGTGTTATGGTCATCCAGAACAAGTCCCATAGCGATGAGGAGGTATTTCTCTCATCTTATGTTACTTTACTCCCTTAAATTTCCGAAACGAGGCTCATTGTCCATACAATGGCAAATAACATATCGAAGTCTTGCTTGGCATTGTCATATCTCCACTGTCTTTTGTGTTCTTACGATATGATGAGCTCGGTTATTGTCTTAGGTTATGGCTAGAATTAGAACACTTGTGTCAAAGGCCGAGATGTTGAGAACCGGGATAACGGCTAGTGATGCGGCCTTGACGCTGGGGATTGCTCCTGCTATGGCAAAGGAACATTTACTAACTGCAGAGACCATAGGTGTCAAACAATTCCTCCTTATTCTATCTTCTAAATTGTGAATCTTTCGGTCCGGGTTTTGCTCACAAACAGGTTTTATGCAGGTTTGCTGTGTAGAGACACAAGCCCGGATGGCCTTCGGTTCTATTTCAATCTGTTTCCCGAGATTGATCCCATCGATCTCTATTCGTAAGTCATTCATTGAAACCCTCAATCTTGTTTTGCCCTTCTGGCTTCTGTAGTTACATGTTTTTCTCTTCCGTACTGACAGGGTGAAGGAGTACGGAATGTACGGTGTGTGGATCAAAGCAACGTGCTTGTCCTGATTGAGAAATTTTGAAACAGCCTGTGGTGACAACAGAGAACGATTGTTTGTAGATTTCCCTGTGACATAAATGTCTTTTACAAGTCTTGTCTGGTTTTCACCGGAAAGAACGTATTCTGAACATTGAATAAAATCTCTGTTTGTAGTAAGCGCGTGTTTACTAGGTATGTCAATTTTGGTCCGTAGTCCGAAACCCGATTCCCCCCGAAAAATGATCGGGTTTGGGTTTGAATTTGTAGGTCCGAAAAAAGTCAACAAGAGGCTCATTTCACTGCTCAATGTCTGATAAGGTGATCCTTTAGAATACCCTTTGATGATAATGGAATGTTTCTCCATTGGGAAAATGAAAAACAAGACAAATGGAACAAGATCTTCACTAGAGCCGCAATCTGAAGAGCAAAGACATGTAAAGGACTTACTGTTGTCTGAAAATCTGGAACCGATCAAACACTCCTACTGAGTTTCAGACAAGGAAATGAGTTTCTATCACCAAAAAACACAGGTCAGACGAATTGAACCACGCAATGCAAATGATCGTCGAGATTTTTTATCCGTTTTTCTCAAAGTTTCATCGCCACCTTTTGAGCTTGGCATAAGCCTGGGCTCGACGCTATAAAAGCTCCATACTGAAGAGTAGAGTAATTTTATTACAAAGCAAACCTTTTGAGACAAAGCCCCAAGTCAAGTGATGGGTTAGGCTAAATGCGTTTCCTTGTCTTAAGGTAAAAAAAAAAACTTACATTGTATATGCAAAAGAGTGATTTGTCCCAACTCCCAAGTGATGATTGCATTGTATAAGCAAAAGAGTGGCATTTTTCTTTCAGACAGAATCCTTACGTGACGATGTCTGAATTGCCCCAAGAGGAAAAGTGAGAGACCTAATCTTCTTGCACATACTTGTTCCTCCTTGCTCCAAACGCGAGTCTCTGAAAGGAATAAAACTATTTTCTACATGAAACTTTTCTGCAGCCAAAAGAGCAGCAAGGCGATTTGAATGGCTAACCGAGAAGATTTTGGAGTAGGCTTTGACTCCTGTTAGGAAACGAACGTAAGTAGGCTTCATTGATCCACTTGCAAGGATGGCTCTGATATTTGGGATGAGATATTCCGCAACCTGTAAATTGAAAAAAGACAGCAGAACATCATGTTCTTGTTTTTCCGATGACTCGATTGTGTAAGGTTTTGGCTCGGTAACTCGACTCATACCACTTCGGCTGGTTCAGCCAGGACGTTGATGAAAAACTTGGCCTGCAATGGAGAAGATTTTTAGTCTAATTAACAGGAAGGGCTCGGGAAATTTGTGTCTCATGTAAAGACAAAACCTGTTTTGTTGTCGCTCCGGACATGAGCAGTTCGGTTGTGACCATCCCTGGCTGCGACATCAAAGGAGAAAACATCGATAGATAGTATTTAGCGATATGAGAGCGATATAGATGGTGACTGGACATATGCATATACATACAGATAAATTGTGGACCACAACGTTTTTAACATCTTGCATTTGCAGTTCAGCCTGTGAAACGACAAGTTAACAAGTTATATGGGCGGAAACCAAATGAGCAGAGTTAGTTGAACTGATGTTAATGCAATTGCAAAGCACTTGACATCATCATACCTGTAATGACTTTGTCAGGTGAACCACACTGCGTTTAGTTGCGCCATATGCGGCAAATCTGAGATAATTTTATTGAGGAAAGGCTGTTAGATATAAGCGATTGAATCAAAAATACGTTTCCGTGGCCCATATATTCCGAAAAACATTCAAGGATTCTATGAAAGAAACACTGGAAAAGCTGAGATTTATGAGAAAATGCTATTAGATATGGACGAATGAAGCAAAAACATGCTTCCTGACCCATATATTCTGAAAACATTCAACGATTCTACGATAGGAAGAAACTGGAAAACCTTGGCGTCGGTCTCCCATCAGAGCCAGCTCCATCAATATTAAATATATGACCACCCCGAGACTGAGTCAACATCATGTTTATCGCCTACAAAAAAAATACACTTTATCATCTAATATAGCTCAATTGCAGGAGCAAAGCACGAAAAGCTTTTATTCACAAAGCTTTTTCCATAGGATGTGATGGAACTACCTCACGACAACATAGCATCAGACCGAGGGTGTTTGTTTTGACAACTTCACTGCAAAAAAGCACTCAAAAAGCATAAATGATCGATGAGATGGAACACAACAAACTACGAAGAAAAGATCAGACAGAAGAAAAGACAAGTGCTTACATAAGATCTTCGTCTGAGGCCTCCGCCAAAGGTTTAAAGCTATATGCATTTGATCCAGCATTGTTTATCTGCATAATCTCAATATATATATATATATGTGTGTGTGTGTGTATATATACATATGTATGTGACGAGAAAAGGAACTCTTGAGAATGAACTAAGGTGGAAGTAAGAAACTCGGGAAAGAAGTTAATACCCAGACATCAATATACTTAAGATTCTTCTGGCAATATTCGACCAGTTCCTTTACATCCTGCCCCTCCCTAACATCACATTTAGTTCCCTGAAAAAAAAAAGTTGGTTCAAGCCTTGCAAATCCATCAATTCCAACAAAATATTAGATAAAATGCATGAAAAGAACGGTTATAACAGGCGGTACCCACACATGCTCCCCAAATTCTTCCCTAAGAGATTGAACAATGGATTCCACTCGTTCAGCTGAAGAACAGAAACCGGAAAAGCAACAAAATATCAAAGATCAATTTTTTCAATCTCATTTGTGAAGGAAAATATATATGATTCATGGTGTGCCAGTCTCTTATCATTCGAATTTTGGGTAAAGTTCTGTAATTCATTGGTTTCTTAGTGGTACTCAAATAAAAAAAGGGATCCACAAGACAGCATTCAAGCCCAAAGTATGTAGCTTTAGTACAGAAACATCTCAAGAACTAACGATGGAGGAGAGTTCTTACCTGATCTTGAGCAGACTACAACATTGTCGCCTGCTTTCAGAAATTCCCTAGCCAACGCATACCCTATACCTGAATAATTACGAAATCAAACACAATAACTATCACAAAAAATGCGATGAAAAATGATAATAAAAATTTCACAGATGAGAAACGATTTCACAATGTTTAAACACCGTAGAACCCTAGATCACTCGAATCGGTGACTTAGCTATGACCACTGATGTTGGAAGACGACGCAGAACAGAACCAAACAGTAAAAGGCAAGAGAAAGAAACCTTTGGTCGAACCAGTGATCAAGACATTGTAAGGAGGTATCATCGGTTCTCTCTTCCCGGAGAAGCGGGCTTCCTCCGCCGTTGACGACGGAGAAATCGAGAGGTTTTGGGGCGAAACGGCGGCGGCGGCGAAACCGCAGCGGCGTTCCGACAGTAAGCTACGGTGACGCCGATATTGACGAGATCGAATCGGAAGATGAACTCCATTCGTCCCCGAGGAAGAAGAGCGAGGCCTCAGGAACGGAGACGACGATACATGGAAGGAACACGAAGCAGCCATTTCAGAGGTAACACAGAACCAGAGAGATTGTGTTCGTAATCGCTACGAGGTGGAAATGCCACGTGTCGCAGCAGCAATTGAAGAACGAAAACAATTTGGTAAAATTCTCATAAATACCCCAAATTATTGTATTAATTACAAAACAGCCCCCAATATTTATATTCTGATAGATTCTACCATAAACTTTATATTTGTAAAAATTAGATCCCTGCATATTGCATACTTTGGTGCATAAGGGGCGAGAAGATAAGAAAAGTTGAAATGAATTCGAAACATTTTATTCCATGAAACAGACTGAATATCAATAAAACAGTTTGAAAAAGGGTAAGAACACATAAGCACCAAATCCCATAATAACAAGTGCAGCAACACCAACATTCATCAAAGAACTGTCGCCTGCGTATGATGATGATGATGATGATGATGGTAATGTTTTATCTCCATCGATCTCTTTTTGATCTTTGAACACCACTGCATTAGCATCATGGAAGATTTCATCTCCTATGCCTTTTTGTTCATCCTCCGCTACTGGTTTTTCCTTCTTTGGATCCTCGAAATCTGATTTTCTCAGTTCTTCATCCAAGACTACATCTTTGTCTAAATCTCTTTCCCCGGGTTTCTTCTGCTTTCCTAGATCTTGAGTTTGTTCTTCTGTTTCCCTTTTTTCGATCAGTTTATCCTCTTTTTCAGGTTGCTTGCTTCCTAAGGTACCATCAACCTCTTCTCTATCTTTCATCTTTTGTTCTTCACTTGCCTTCTTCTTCTCTCCAACTGGCTTCTCCTCTTCTTTTTTTGGTTGCTTGCTTCCTAAGGTACCGTCTAATTCTTCTCTACGTTTTACAGTGACTCCCTTCTCCTGCTTTGTAACTTGGAAACCCTCAGGTTTTACGTCCTTTTCTTGTTTCTTGCGTCCCAAGCTACCCTCGCCTTCGTTTTCCTTCGCTTTTTGTTCGGCTTGTTTCTCATCTTTCTTGCGCTCCAAGATACCATCAGCAGCCGACATTCTTCTTCCCTCCGGCTTCCCTTCTCCCATCTCCGCAACTTTCGGTTTCTCATCCTCTGGATCTTGCTTGCGTCCCAAGCTACCGTCAACTCTCGGCTTCTGAGTGGATTTCCCCTGATCTTGATCGACCCTTTTGTCTTGCTTCTGCGTCACGTCAACGATCGGCATCTCGATCGTCAGCAGTCCGTGTACAAAAGACGTCTTTGGTCTGCTCATGTCGCAGATCTCAGGGACTTTGTAATATTCGTTGAAACGAGCTCGCGTTTGAGCCGAGAGCGGTCTTTGCCCCTGGATTTGTATCGTTCTTGTCTTCTCATCGCTCTTTATTTGTATTTGATCTCTATAAAACCCTGTTTAGATATTCCAACTAGGTTGTATAAGAATGTAATGGAGTCATAATAATTTTTTTATTATAGGTATACACAAATTAAATAAACTCTATGTATGTGTGTATATATATATATATATATATATATATTATTTCATCTACCAATAAATAGGCTGCACGATGTTATACAAATAGTTTTCACGTCTAAATTACCTAATAGAAAAAGAAATTTGTTTCGTTCTGATTTTGAATAAAAAGATTCGCAGGTTTTACGTTCAACCAATAAAGCAAGTGTTGTTAGGGTTTCACATATAATTCATTCAATATCTATATCTATCTATCTATCTATATATATTTAAAACGCTGCTACGATTATAAAGCCCCTACATGTTTTATCATATCTACACAAATATCGACCATTATATAGTATAACGTGTACCAAATCAAAACAAATAATAATTTCGGAAATATATAAGAATATAATTGAATTAAGGATAATTCCATTTAAAACCCTGTACTTTTCTCTCGTCGCAATTTAAACCATGTACTTTTTTTTTATCCAAAAAATATTGTACTTTTAAAAATTGGCAATTAAAACTCTATACTTTTAAAAATTGGCAAATAAAACCCTGAACGAAAAAATATATTATTTAATGCTGACATGGCATCCTAGTCATCTACCACATCATCAATCCCTAATATTTAATAATATTAATTAATATAAAATAAAAATAAAATAATAAAAATAAAAATAAAATTTTAAAAATTATACACATACATATATAATGAAATGATATACATATATACACATATATAAACATATTTATATATATACACACATATATATAATACATATATATATATAT